TATATATAAACTGATTCTTACATACACGCTTGCTTACATACGCTTCCCTATCTAAAATAAACACCTCCTGCGTCTTCTGCTCTCTGGTCCCTCCTGTTTGAACTGTTTTCCTTGCAAATTCATCTCCTGGGCTCAGGCTAGAGTGGAGATTCTATGGTCTTCTACTTCTGTCTTCTTTTATAAACAAATGTCCAGATACCCAGCAGATAACCCATCCATTTCCTTAGTTCCAATTTTCAGACCCGATGGTACATACGTAAGTGATCTTTACAGGATCGCTCTACTTTTGTGTACCCGCTGTGAATAGAGCCATTTCAATGTTGCCTAATATTCCATTCTAGAAGTCTAAGACCCATAAGGGCCTGGAGAATCGGGCCCACACTGCCTCTCTGATTTTCACCTTACAGGTTCACTTACCCTCAGACACATTAGAATACCAGCTACCCTGTACTTCTAGGGTCTCTTCAGTTGTTCCCACCCCAGGGTCTCCACACTCTAGGTCTTTTCCCTCCAAATGTCCATTAGGGCCCTCTCCATCTCCCTCACAAGTTATCTAAATGTAATTTTTTTCTCAGCTTCTTTTTTAGTTGCCTGTTTTAAAATTGTATCCCTACTTCCCTGCCCAAACTAAAGCAAAAACTCAAAATACCCAATACTCCCTGTCTTCCATTCTGCTTTTTCTTCAGTGATTTTTTTGCTGCTGTTTTTGTTCATGTTACACATACACAAACACACACAACACACATGCACACACACGTCACAGTTTTTTAACTGATTTTTTTTCATTTGTCTGCCCAATACTGGATTATTTTAGGTACTTCCTAACATAAGTTCTCTGAAGACAGGGTTTTTGTTTTTTCTGTTTTATACATTGTCAAATTCTTAGTACCTAGAATGATTCTTAGGTCATATATAGTAGGTATTAAAAATGCTTTGTGTGTGTGTGTGTATAAAATATAATTATATAAAAAAGTAATTAGTAGTATAGGTCAGATTCTTAGATTAAATCACTTCAATTTAGTTCCACCATGGTGAGTATTCATGAGCTAATTCCTGCAGACTCTGTTCAAGAAGGATGTCTCTGATAGCCACATAGACTCATTGTCCCGTGTAGGCAGAGAATCGGGTCACTTGGTAAAACTACTTAAACAGACTAAATAAAAAAACAATAGTTGGTGACAGATTTTACCAGGCTTGAAAAAGGATTTTAAGCTCCTTCCCCCAAATAATGATGGTCACATAATCAAACCTATTTAGGAGCTGGGGAAGTCGTCAGCATTAAATAGTTTATTACATCCTGACAGTGAAAGACATGATTTTTTTTTCTTCTACAAGGCAGCTAGTTTTTATCAGTGTCTGGAGAGAAGACCTGATCTGATAGGTTCTGTGGTGGCTGCACCACAAAGCAGGCTCACAGTCCCACTGTAAGACACTGGCTATGCCTTTGCCAGAACTACAATTTCTTTTAGAAAAGATAATGTATTTCACATATGCTTCCTTCTTGCAAAATAACCTGAATTGAAATCCTGCTGGTACAAGTGCATGTTTCATTTATAAAAATAGAAGAGAAATGGCAAGTACTTTTATACCATAGTATTTCAAACCTAGGTTTTACTACCAGTGATTAAGCATTAAATATCACATCATTATTTTGATGTAGCATTAAATGAGAGAATGTGAAGTGAATGATAAATCAAGTCCTTCCTATGAGGTTTTGCCACAGAACCAGTGGCGAATGCAAGGCTGACTCACAGACACAGAGCAAAGTGTCACGCAGTCACAAAGCCTTAGGGATCAAAGTCCAGCTATGACTTTGGTGTGGTTGTCTTTTGTAGTACCATGGGAGAAAGTTAAAGGACTTGATGTCGTATTACCACTCCTATGGTTACATAGCTAATAAAATCGATCGACTCTCCCATAATCCAGGATAAGAAAATAAGAAAAAACTTTCAGCACCTTGAAAGCATCCATTTCAGGCACCACCCCCTAAAGCTGGCATCCATGGCATCTACTTTACCTTAAAATTATGCATTAGTCCCGAGGCAGGGGCCATATCTGGCTTTTGCTTACTAGGGTCACCAACAACTAATACGTTTTTACTGTGTGTGTGGTAAATGATCTCTTAGTTTGGTTCCCTACCTCAGTTTTCAGTTCTTCTGGATTTGATTACAGCCCATTTCTCCTTACATTTCCTCGTCTGATCTTTTGTTGGCATTGTGCAAAATGAGATGTTAAAACTGACCCCTCTCACTTTGTGCATTCAACTAGTGGTTGGTTCTATGGTGCACACTTTCTCATTCAGACCTTATGAAATTTTTTTAGGGTTCACACTGGCAACAGGTCATTTATGGTGATGGACAAACATTTTGAATTCAAATGGCTGCTTTTCTTTTTAAGTGAGGTTCATTAAAGTATGATTGCTTTGCTCTTCTATTGTTCTATTAGATTTATTTATTTATTTATTTTAACTTTTTTGTTTTTTTTGAGACAGGGTTTCATTGTGTAGCTTTGAGATTTTTTTTTAACTCCAAAATAAGTATGGGGATATAGTAAAAATACTTTAAGTCTTGACTCATGTGACTTTTTCATTACAGTTTAACATAATGAACATTAGCATAACCTGTAGGAATCATTGTTTTAGTACTTTAGCCAATTGTAACAAGTCAATAGAATACATAGTTCAGTAACTTCGGCTACTAGTAGTTGTTTCTGGCAGTTCTGGAGGCTAGAAGGGCAAGATCGAGGGACAGGCATGGCCAAGGCCTGGCTCACAGGGGACCTAGCTCTTTCTGTGCCTTCCCTTGGTAGAGAGGATGAGGACCAATCCTTTTCCTCTTTGAAAGGCACTAGTCCCATCACAAAGCCTTTGCCTTTATGACCTAATAACCTTCCAAAGGTATCACATTCTAAACCCATTCCACTGGCGAGTAGGACTTCAGCATTCCGGGATATGGATAAAGTGTCTTCTGTAACATTATATAGCAGTAATTAGAAATCATAAACACATTTGACTGAGTTGTTTTGATAACTGAATGATACTGCAAAGATTCTTCTACCCATTACAGACTTGTACAAGCATTCATCAGATGAGGGATTTGATATTCTTGGAAGGACCAACCATAAGGCAAAAAAAAAAAAAAAAAAAAAAAAAGATGCAATCTAAGCATTGGAAGTATTAGAAGGCTGTAGGGATGGCTCAGTGGGTAAGAATGTATGCTGTGTAAGCACAAAGACACAAGTACGACTCTCAGAGTGTGTACGTGCACACACACACACACGTGCACAAACACACACACACACAAATTAAAGCCTGGATGTGGCATCACAAGCATCACGGGGCTTGGAATACAGGCAAGTAGTTCCCTGGGGCTTCCTACCCGTCAGCTCAGTTCCCAGTTTGATGTGAGGGTCTCTCTCCAGGGAATAAGGTAGATGTCACAGAGCAGGATAGCTGATGTCCCCTTCTGGCCTCTGCATGTATACCTTTATACACATGCGGCCCTCAAAGCCATTATTATCATTAATGCACATTTGGACACCTTAAATATTCCAAACTTGACAGGGTAGTTCACAAGGGGAATGGGGTACAATTTGCTATTAGTAGTCACAAAATTTCCTTCTACCTCCAATAGCATATTCAAACTATGATTTAAAACACTGTAAGAAATTTATTCAAGTAACAAAATTATAACGCCTTCTAGATTTGTAATGGTGATAACTTGTCATCAAACCTCTCTCAGATTGAGAAATACATAACTCATCTCCATGTTAATTGTGTCCTTATGGCCACAACACCCATTTTAACTTTATAGAGTTTTCAGAAAAGGTTAATGTGTCTGTCCATATGTGAAAAATGGGATTATTTTCAAAGTTAATTTTAATGGTATTATGAGAGCAATATAAAATAGAATAATACATTTCTTGCTGAGTATTAAATTGAGTTCTTGGTTATCTGAAAGAGAGGAAAAGGAGCTGATTACATGCAGCTGTGCAGCAGTGGGTGGTGGAGTATGTTCCTCTGTTTACAGAGATCAGGACAGTCCCACCCACTGCAAAGAATGAGGCACAGGAGGCTCCTTTATGGTCCCGGTGAATATCAGCACTCACCATGTTACCTAGCTCCAACCGCACAGTCCACACC